AGAGAGCGCTATACAAAACTGGTGTAATACCTGTCAGTGACCCAGACAATTAATTCAAAGTCCTTAAAAAAGCAAGGTCAAGTTTCGTGTAGGTGATCTGTTCTGAGGTATGGAAGACCAAGGGCTAACTTCTAGGACTCTTCCAGCACAAGAAAGAAAGTAAATATACTGCAACGTAATTGTACCAGTAGTACTTCTAGGGAAATTATAGATTTTTCTAGAACTTATAGGGGGTGGTCCTTCAAGCATTCACACAGAAGATACGATCCTAATACAACAAAAGGAAAACAAAAAAAGACAGCATTTATTTTTAACAGTTAAATGTTTTATCTTTACTGCCCCAAAACTAAAAATTATATACTAGATTCTTGGCTACAAAAAATACTTTTGTAGTAATTTTTTTAAATTTGTAGTAATTAAAAAAAATCTAGTTACTTACCTTGAACCACATAATAGACACAACTAAGGAGATAATGATTGTGAACAGAGCTGGCATTTATGCACAGCAAGCAACTGTCTCTGTGGTGTGGACTTTCCCAAAATATCTCCCACATGGGCCTATCCCTGATGTTTGAAATTCCTTTGCAGTTGGTGCCAGTTAGACATGCAAATGAACCTATAGCACTCATCATCATAATTAAGATTTTATTATCCACTAACTTTTTATGTCCTACAAATTCTTTACAATATGACACATAGTTGGAATGTCTGAAGAATATGATACACAGCTAGAATATGTTGAAAAGAGAACTCACAGAAAAGTGGAGGCAGGAATACAGCTATGAATACAAAGGTGTGCTTCAGGAGAGAGGATGAAAGAGCAGGGTATAACAGTTGGGTGAAAGAGGAGAGCACTGTAGAAAAGAGGGGCAGGGATGCTTAGAGAGGTCTGCAGTAGGAAAATAAGGATAAGCCTTTCCTACTCTGCATTACCATTTCTTTTATGACCAGCCACAGCATGTTACAGAATTTTGAGAATATAATGCACTGTATAGATTGTATGCTATTAACTAAGTTAAGGGATTAATTAAAAGTTTGATTTATATATTTGCATTTAAGAACTCAAAAAGAACTCAAAATTTCCCCCCAAATAACTTTTACTGATCTTTTAATTTTAATTAACACATGATTATAGAAAATTTGAAAAATACTACAAAGTATATACAGATTAAAATAATCTCTAATTCCTTCACCCTGCAATACCACTTAACATTTGGGGGCCTGCAGAGGGGTTTAACTTGAAGGTTTTATGTATGTGTGTGAAATACATATATAAAACAAAATTAGATACTATATAGTTCTGTATCTTAATTTTTATGTAAAACTGTATCATGATCATTTTTTCATGCCACTGAATATTCTTCATGGTTTTAGGGCCAAAAGGTTTGAAAACTAGTGGCTTCTTAATGTGTGTTATCCTAGAGAACTATTTTGATTTTAAACCTACTAAGGAAAATCACGTTTAAAACTTCCACCTTCTGGAAAGGATATACCAAACCTTGAGTATAATCAATATTGCTGCTTTGAATGAAAGAGTTTGAAAGATTTTCATGATCTCTTATCTTATTTAACTGACAAAGCAAATTAAGAGCTAAAACTGAAAAGGGTCAGTTAAAGTGTTAGATCTCGTGTTAACCAATATTGCAAAAGGGAGACACAAATCACAGTACTTATACTGTGTGAGTAAAATACTGTTTGGCTCTGAATGCTGTAACATCAGAGGAATTTAGTAATTCTGTACCCTCTTGGCCTAGGAGCCAAATTAGGCCTTTGGCTTAATTTCATTCAGTTGGCCTTTGGAATTTTTTTTTTTTAAAGATGTAGTGTGTTTCTTGCCCCATCCTTCAAAGATATGGGATGTGTGTGTGTGTACACGTAAATTAATTATCTGACTGAGGTCTCCAGAAGTGAGACTTGAAGGATGTTCTTACTTCAATGGCATTATTTGTGAAAGGAGCAGTGATAATCGGTCTCTTTGATGGCAAATTTAGCAGTAGAGGGAGGAAGTGGAGAAGTGACTGTGGTGAGGAAGAAATGAGAGTCTAAGAGGCTCTACAAAGATGCCCAATCTATCCAGTACTGTACAAGGCACAGGATGGACTACAGACGCTACTTTTAGGGATAAAAGGGCCCTTTTATCCTTAGTACCCTAGGAACTTTGTTTCACTTAGTGGGAGCAAAAGGCCTAACACTGAACAAGCAGGATTTCATTTTTATTGAGGACCAACTGTGGTCTGTACACGTCATAAATGTTAGTTTCTTTCCTTCCTGACAATGTAAGTGCTGTGTACTCTTCTAATACGGATGAGGATATAGGGGAATCGGAGAGATTAAGAAACTAACTCAAGAGCCAGCCCTGATGGCCTAGTGATTAAAGTTCAGCATGCTCCCCTTTGGCAGTCCAGGTTTGGTTCCTGGGCACAGAACCACACCACTCCCCTGTCAGTAGCCATGCGTTGGTGGCAGCTCATGTAAAAGAACTAGAAGCACCTGCAACTAGAATATACAACTATGTATATTTTGGGGATGGGGAAAAAAAGAGTGAGAGGAAGATTGCCAACAGATGTTAAGGGTGAATCTTTCCCAGCAAAAAAAAAGAAACTAACTCAAAGGTACACAGTTAGTAAATGCTGAAACCAAATCTGTTTCCACAAAAACTATGTGCCTTTCTACAATACCATTATGACTTAAATTTCAGAATTTAGTCTAACACCTTTAACCACATTGCAATTTTACAAACCAATCTATTCTCGGCTAGTGCAAGAGAAAAATACATTGCATGAAAAGGAATCTACTGTGAAGGTAGGGAGACATTTAGATCAGCAATATCACTGAAAATATTTAAACATAATTTAAATTAACTTCAGAAAAATAACACTAATGTCTAAAATTTCAAAGCATTTCTAGGAACAATCTAAAGAGTGACTTTTTTTCTTATGAAAAAGAAAGTTTTCATTATTTTCCTCTTGGAGCTGGTATTAACCACTACACTAATTCATATGGGCTTTTCTTCATCAAAAATAACAAAACTGAATATTTTTTATTTCAAAGTAATTTCGATATAAAGAAAGTAAAAACTAAGAGAACTTAAAAGTTTCAGGGCTATTTTACTTTCAAACAGTAAGACATCCTTAGAAGATGAGAAATAGTATATAGTACATTTTAGAACACATATTTTCCATTAGCATATTTAAGGAGAATCAATTACAAGAATAACAGATAATATTCCATTTTAGTTATATTTTTGAGAAACAAGGTTCTTCCCTTTTTTTTAGGTTTTATTATTCAGAGCCTATATAGAATTGTAGGTTTTGTTTAAAAAAATGTTTTGTTTAAATAGTGAAAAGACTCTGTCTTAAAATAATTAATCAGGAAAGTAAAGCTATACTATCGGTTTTCTAAAAACCAACCTTTTTGGACCCTTATAGAAATTATTAATATCTATTATGAAATCTTAAGTGTTTTGAATTTTGATTATGAAAGTAACCACATTTGACCACCTTTTCAAAGACTGTTTCACATGATTTATGCTTTCTGCTTTGGGAAAGAAAGAAAATATTAAATTATATAATTGAACTTCACTTAAGCTGAATAAGGCAAAAAGAAAATCTAGATTTAGAAAACAAATCTAATAGGGGCTTAATTGCATTAAGGCTGATTGAAGGCTAATCGTCTTTACAATAAAAATGTATATACATTCAAGTATTTAAATGTCTTAGTTCATTTAAATTAAGAATACACTCTGAGTTGACTTAGACATAATCAAATTAACTCCCTCATAAAAAACCATCCCAAACTATCAACTTATGTACTCAGCATCCGCAATACAGGTTAGACAAACTTTTCTAAAATGGGAACACCTTGCACATGAATAGATACTTCTAGGAATTGAGGCATAACGTAACAACATAAGCCAAAAAGGCGCAATATCACACAAGGTGCCGTGTCTGTCACACGTATACCATAACTTCAGTTTAAATTTTCATTCCTAATGTCTCAGCGGAAATTGTTGTTGTTGTTTTGGTATAGGATAGTCATTCGCCAAAAAAGAGCTTGGCGCTTCCTAAATCAAGCTCCATCTAATTTCTGGGTCAAATCCTGATATGGAGTACCCGAGGTAGATCTTTTTGTCAATATTTAATCAGAGGCTTCGGGAATGGAAGAAATCTAAGGATAACCACTTAGTCTTGTTCCCAGCCTTCTAGATATTATAATCCCCAGGAACACAGACCTTCCCTTTGGGGAAACGTGTGTGTGTTTGTGTATGCATGTTTAAAGGCCTACGTAGCAGAAGCGATATGTTCATTACCATTTGGATACGTTGAAAAAATTCTACTAGGGAGACAAGGATGACACCATTTCCCTCGTCACTGGAAGGTGGGCTGGGGGATCCCAGCCACCTGCACTGACGCTAAATTATGGAAAGCAGCCAAGAATCTGGGACTCGGAGAAGCGTCCCAGTCGGTTCTATGGAAACGAGAGACGCGGGCGGCCTAGCGCCTTCCTGCAGGGAACCGAGCGGCGGAGCTGCGCAAGCAGGAGGCGGGGGACGCGGCTCAGCCCGCACTGCAGAGAGGCGCCCGTGGCCGTCCTCGCGGCGGCGGCGCCGGCACGGCAGGGCGGGGCGGGGTCTGCGGCCGCAGCCCACCGACGCGGGCGCCGAGCGCTGCGAGTCCGGGCGAGCGGGAACGAACGGCGGCTGCGGAAAGCGCCAGGGGCAGGCACCGCCGCCGCTCACCCCAGCCCCTGCCCGGCCTCACAGCCGGGAGCCGCAGAAACTTCGGGGACACGGAGGAAACATCCCCAGAGAGTCAGGGTACACTGTGTCTTCTGAACTGAGGTCCTTTACCTTCCCGGACGGAGTGTCTGGGCCGCTTCCTTCGGGTGGCTGTGATGACAGGGGAGACGACTGCCGCTGCAGCACTCGCTGCTTCACTAATCCGGGCTCTGGGAAATAATTTCCCGCCGCGCGCTCGGCCGCCCCGGAAGCTATTGTACCACTTCCGGGTGGTTGTCAGTGACGCTCTCGAGCCGTCGTCAGGGTAGCCTGAGAGGGTGGCCCGCGGGATTCTGGCCGGCGGGCCAAGCTACTGCTAGATCCGCGCCGGAGGCGGGAGACTGGTAAGTGATTTTTCTGGATTGCCTCCTGGGCCTGATATTTCCGACCGGCCGGGGCTCCGTGCAGCGTCTTTGCCGGACCAAGAAGTGAGCGGGAAAGGGTTGAAGCAAGAGTCGTCCCCATCCAGCCCTGTGGCGCTGGACCCTCTGTGCTGCTGGAGAAGGCCCCGGGATCCTGGTTTACCGTCTGCTCCGCTCGCCACATCCACCTCCAACTTGGAACTCGCGCTCGGGTCCCCGCGTGTCCCTGGGCGAGGCCGAAGACACAGAGTACCGCACTCGGTTGAGTACCGAGTCTCCCTACCAATGATCCAGGAGTGCCTTTATTCTCCCATCGGCACGGTTTGGTCACCCTTGATTCTCCACAGCTGCTTTACCGTTCTTTTTCTGAGTACTGTTCCCATTGCCCTGGGAGGCAGTGGCCTGGGAGGCAGGCAGTCGGCCAAAGTGGACACCGTTTACAAACATTTTGGAAGTGGGGTGAGGGGGGACGTTCCCGATTTAGACTTAATTCCACACTACCCCCGCAGTTTGAGTTGGGTGAGAATGGTCTTTGTTTTCCTGGCTGCTATGAGGTAATGAGATATGAAAACAAGCTTAAAATTTCATGCATGGGCTTTTAGATACACGTGTTTACCGTTTGGAAACCAGTGATCGGGAAGTAGGTGTGCTTTCAGAAAGGAGTGCCCCTCTTGTGCTCCAGGCTTCCTCAGTAATGACGGATTCAGGAGAATTTTGGATGGAGGTCTGAGGTAGCCAGAAAGGCGCTCATTCCGCCAAAGATTTGAAAGATGTGATGTAGCGAACCTTAGCTACTTCTTTCTTGAGTAGTGCAGTTTCTTCAGGTAAGTAGTTTTCACTCACCACCTTATATTTGAATAATCATCCTTCTTTCCCGTAGAAGGTAGCTGATTGATTTTTTTTCAAAACCACCAGTTCCAAAAAGAGTTCTAGGGCTTACTCGACCATAAAGACAAATGCAGTATGTTTTTTCAAGGCCCCTGATGCTACCTTTGGAGAGTAAGGCAAACGTGTTTAGGACGGCACGTTGATCTTCTAATCTCCTTGTTAATAATTCAACTAACTTTTATAATCTCATTTGGTCCCGACTTTGCCATTTTTTTGAACCTTGTGCTTTTTCTTTATTTGTCGAGTTGAAAGGATTGTAAATAATTGAAGGGAATTTACATGTTTCTATATAGGAACTAGTTTTTACACAGACTGATTTTTTTTTTTATCATTGCTCTTGATTTGTGATATCTTCTTTCAAATTAAAATGGCCAACCACTAATACTAACCACTAACCACAGATAGCTACTGCCTGCTAGGCACTTTACATTTATTATTTTTCTTAAACTTACCACAATTCTACAAGAAAAATCATATTATCCGATTTTGCAAGCATTTTGTACTGAGACTTGAAGACATTCGCACAGATTATACAATTAAATGGCACAATTGAGATTTGAACCCAGTCTACCTGACTCCAAACTCAGGCTCTTTTTACTGTGCTTTATACTTCTCATAAATAGCCACAACAGAATCATTCTTTTCACTCTCGGGTAAAATTGGATAGATAGTATGTCACATTCAGAAACCAAATGGATAGCAAAACTTGAGTATAAGGAGATTTAAGGAATATGTTAAGGAATTAATTCCTTAGGTTAATGTTTAAGGATTAAGGAATGTGTTAGGGATTTAAGAAATCACGTGTAAGGTAATTTTGACATAGGAATAATCTAATTTCTCTTTTATGGTGATCCTTGGCCAGTTTTATCATTCTAACTCAAACAGATACAAGCAATCTAGAGACCATCAGTATATTAGTGACTCTAAGTCCAGAGTATCAGCTATCTCTTTAGGAGGCTTTTCACACACACACATTTACATACATATATATATTTGTGTGTGTGGAGAAAGAGAAAATGAGTGAATGAGCACAAATCCATAAAACTGAACTTTGTAATGCCCTGTAAGGAATTGTTATTACTTACTGGTTATTAGCAAAACTGTTCTATTCCATTCATATAACCCTCAGACAGATGGTGATTATCACACATTTTAAGGAAGTGTGCTTAAATAAACCTACCCACTCCAATATTCTGTTTTATGTAGAGAAGTAGAAATAGCCTGCTTGTCAGAGAATTTACTAAAATCTAGTTGAAATGACCAATACTAGAAGCGACATAAAAACTAATTCTAAAGGATATCCTGTTTTACAGAAAGACACAAGTATATATGTACAGCTAGTCTCAAATACTAATATGCATTTCATTACATTGTATTGACTTGACTGTGTGAAAGATGTTTGCATATCTCACAGGTAGATCTCAGGGATATTTTGTTTCAATCAAATTTCAGTGCTTATGAAGGTTGAGATTACATCTGTTTTGTTCACTATCTCATACCCAGCATCTGGCATTGTGCCTGGAGTGTAGTAAGGGGCTCAATAAACATTTATTGAACGAATAATTCCTTTTTAAAATGTTATTTATCCACAGAGAAATATTGCTACATGTGTTTTTTTGGTTTTTGCTGAGGAAGATTATCCCTGAGCTAACAGCTATGCCAGTCTTCCTCCACTTTATATATGGGCCATCACCACAGCATGGCTGACAAGTGGTGTAGGTCCACACCCAGGATCTGAACCTGCAAAACTGCGCCACTGAAGTGAAGCACACCAAACATACCCACTAGGCCACAGGGCCAGCCCCTTGTATATGTGTTTTTTAAAAAGGGACTTACCACGTAAATAGATGCATACTTATTTACTCACTTTGACCTTTAAATGTAATGTCCACTCCACATTCATCCAGAAAAGGCAATGTGGTATCCTGCAAAGACGACTGGACAGTGAAATAGGAGATAAGAGAATGTCTAATATTTATTGTTACTTACTCTCTGTGTATAGTGCTAGGTTTAGGCCTCACAGTACTATAGGGTAAGTATTATCCTTTTACAGAGGAGAAAACTGAAACAAAGATAAGCTTTGTAAAGCATCCTTGGTTACACACAGTCATTAAATACCAGAGCTATGATTTGAACCAACACTGACTTTAGAGTCCATCATCTTAACCTCTTTGCCATACACCTCTTCTTGGATTTTAATCCTGGTTCATCTACTAACTACCTGTATACACAGGGCAATTTATTTCTGAGGATCATATTTCTCATCTATAACATAGGGTTGGACTACATGATCTATAAGGTCCCTTCTAGCTCTAAAATCCTCTGATTTTAGTTGACTCCCAAGTATTATCTAAATATAGCAGTTCCAGTGTGCTAGAAGGCCTTCACGATTAGAGTTTTACATGTATTGGTGTCTTCTACATTGGTAGATGTACAATCGTGTTTTTGTAATGGAAAGAACAAGACCAGAGTTAAAAAAATCTTTGGTGTAGTGGTTAAATTCAGCATGCTCCGCTTTGGCAGCCCAAGTTCGTGGGTTTAGATCCTGGGCACAGACCTACACCATTCATCAGCCATGCTGTAGCAGTGACCCATATGCAAAATAGGGGAAGACTGACACAGATGTTAACTCAGGGAGAATCTTCCTCACCAAAAAAAAAAACCTATCATGCTTTTTGCCAGCTTATGACCCTAATAAGTACTGAACCTTTGTGAGCTTATGTTTTCATATGTAAAATGGATCCACAAGATTGCTTTGAGGGTTAAGTGAGATGAAATATATAAAGCCTCACACATGCTGCCTGATACACAGTTGCCATTAAATAAATATTGTCTTTCCCCCCAATCTTGTGAGAATAGAAGAAGATTGGTGAATATAAAAATGCTTTATAAATTAGTGAAAGGTGAAGAATCTTTTCACTTATAGTCTATCAGGAAAGGTAAAGTTTTATACACAAATAGTTATTAGAAAGGACAATTTACATACTATCATTGAACATAAATCATAATGGGAACACAGAGAAAAAATTTTGCTTCCAGGAGGACAAAAGAGGAAAGACATCATGAAGAAGGTAATGCTGAGTTTGGGTCTTAAAGGATGTGAGGATTTGGGCAGAGGGCCAAGAGGGAAGAATGTTTCACTGGAGGATGCAAAAGTGACAGAGAAGAGAATAATGACTACTTCACTTTGGATATATAGGATAGTGAAGGCTAGTAACAAAGGTAAAAAGGGTAAAGTTGAGTTCTGGGCAAGCTGTGGTTAACAGTGTGGTCATCTTAAAGATGTTAGGCTTTTCACAATAAGCAGTGATTTGTGTGTATAACCAGGAGCCGGTGGAGGGTAGGGTTGGTATTTGATTTCTTTGTTAAGAAAGTAATACCTATTTGTTAAAGAAATATAAGAATATACACATAAGCCAAAAAGAAAAAGAAAGATGAAAAATTGCCCGTAATCCCACTCCAGGCTCAGTCCAGCACTTGCCCTTTGACATCCCCAGCTTCCCCTCCTGGCTGGGAGCATTCCTCTCCTAGTGAACTGATAGCTGTGACTCAGGGCTCAGGCTGTCCCAGAGGTGGGAGGGGGCTCTGAGGGGCTGTCTAGCCCCCTGTTCCTGGGCCTCCACCCTGAGGGCATATGGACTCATATGGTGACTGGTCCACAAGTACATTGTTCCTATAGGTAGGGGCTGGGTGCTGCCACCAGGCAGTGATGGCAGAGGGCTCCCTTGAACTAAGAGGTCTTCCTGCCTATCCCTGTTGTCTCCTCCGTGGCTCCTACCCCTTTCTGATGTCTGTGACCCTGAGCAACCACCTGCCCCTTTCTCAGCCGTAGTTTCCACATCTGCAGTCACAGGGTGGACTGGGTAGGGGACCTTTGAGCTCTTCCCTCCCTGGAGTGGCTCCAGGACCCCTACCACAACCACCATGGTGGGGCCAGACCTGGCTCTGCCTCCCCTTCCTGACCTGCATGGCCCAGGTCCCCCAGGATCTCCCACTTCTGCTCCTTGACCTTCTATGCCTTCTCTACAGCAAAACAAAACAAAACGCACAAAAACAAAAACCCATCCCCCTCCAGTGTTTGAATACTGCTAACT